GGGAGGGGTCCGGGCAGCACTGAAGGGTACATCCAAGAGGCCGCTGTCCAGCGGCCCGCACGTGCTGGAAGGAGCCCCCCTCCCTTCCCCTCCTCTCCCCTACCCTTCCCTCCCCTCCCCTGCCCTTCCCTCCCCTCCCCTCATCTGTGGAGGGGCCGCTTAGTCCCGGGAGGGGAAGCAGCCCAGTGAACGGCCACTTTCCTGTTTATCAGTATCTGCCGAGCTCCTACTGTGTGCGAGTCCTGGGCTGTGGGGACTGGCCGTGGACACGGAGCTGATGATGCTCCTCGCAGGACTAGTTAGAGAAATAAGTGAAGTTGGTAGCGTGTCGGTCCGTGATCCTGGGTAGACAGAGCAGGGGAGCGAGGGAAGGCTGCCTATAGGACCTTCACGCTGGGATGACAGGGACCTGAGAGGCCTGGGCTTTGTGACAGGGAAACTTGGATAAAGGGTGGTGTGATTCTTCTGGTTGGTCTCTCAGAGGAGGATGGCGGGGCTTGATTATACTGGTAGAGAGGTGCTGGGCTGGCCAGGAGCTTACAGGGTTATACCTCCCCCATGCTCCTGTCCACAGAGCAGTCGTCTTAGCTGGAGGTGGCAAGTGCCTCCCCCACCCCCACCATCTGCTGGAGTGCACACCGGGCGCCGTGCCCTGATCCTGGCACTTCTTGTAAATCACACCGTGTCATATCCATTGCACAGTAGGGAAACTGAGTCTGGAGAGGTGAAATAACATGTCTAAAGTCACAGAAAGTGAAAAAGCTGAGGACCTGGAGCCACTTGCCCAATGACAGGAGAGCTGAAATGTCCTCTCTGCTGGGGGTAGACCAGGCCTCACCAGCTTCCTGGAGAGTCACATGTTTGTCTGCATCCTTAGGGGGCTCCCCCGCTCTCCAGCCGAGACTGCGGCAAGAGGCTTCCTGGAGGTGGCAGCTTTCTTCAGAGGCACCATCCCGGAGTGCAAGCCCCTGATGGGCGCAGAAAATTCAGGAAAGACCACATAGAGGTGGGCTCCCAAGCAGGTGCAGACAGCACCAGGCCACCCAAGGCCTCACTGCCCAGCGAGGGCCCTTCAGAACCTCAGTACCCTCTGCCACCTGAGCTGCAGCCGCCCACAAACTGCTGCATGAGTGGTTGCCCCAACTGTGTGTGGGTGGAGTATGCGGACAGGCTCCTGCAGCACTTCCAGGACGGTGGGGAGCGGGCCCTGGCTGCCCTGGAGGAGCACGTGGCTGACGAGAACCTCAAGGCCTTCCTCAGGATGGAGATCCGACTTCATACTAGGTGCAGAGGCTGAGCCAGCCCTGCTGGACTCCCTCCCCCAGGAAAGAGTCCGGGACATAGCCGCAGCCTCCTTCCTTCACACCCCCTCACAGACTCCTTGTATCCAACGGGAATGGGAAGAATTATTTATTGACTTCACCTGAGAAAAAAATAAATTGTCTACGGTGGTTTCACAGGAGGCTTTTGTTTTGGGGGTGGTTTTTTTGGCAGTGTGTCTGCCAACCAGAACTGCCACTGCTCCAGCCTCAACAGGAGGCTTTTGTGTAGTTGTCTGTAAGGCCTGTGTTGCATCTTGAAAGCGAGCAGGTCCAGGTCAGCATTATGCATCTCCGGAGCCCTTGCAGCCATCACTCTGCTATGAGGGTAAAATAAGACCCCCGGCTGGGCACGGTGGCTCACACCTGTAATCCCAGCACGTTGGGAGGCCTAGGCGGGCAGATCACGAGGTCAAGAGTTCGAGACCAGCCTGACCAACATGGTGAAATCCTGTCTCTACTAAAAATACAAAAATTAACCAAGTGTGGTGGCAGGCGCCTGTAATCCCAGCTAGTCAGGAAGCTGAGGAACCCAGGAGGCGGTGGTTGCAGTGAGCTGAGATTGTGCTACTGCACTCTAGCCTGGGTGACAGAGCAACACTCTGACTCAAAAAAATAAATAAATAAGACCCTTTTTCCTTGAACGGTCAAATGACAGTGACCCCAGCGCCCCTTCCAGGCCAGGTCCTAGCTTCCCTCAAGTCCTGGCAAAGGCCTTCTCTGCTTGCTGTCAGTGTGCAGCAAAAGGAAGGCCATCTGATCTCATGGAGTCGCTGTGGCAAAGCCTTTGACAGGCACAGAAGCCCACAGGCAGCCTGGAAGTGCCCGTCTGTCCAGGTACATCAGTCCCCGGCAGGCGTCCTCGGGTGCCCTTCCACCAGCCTGGCAGAGGCTGCAGATCAGCCCTCAGTGGCCCAAGCACTACCTGGAACCAGTTCTTCCGGCTTGTTCAGCCACAGCTCCCAAGGGAGTTGGTAAGAGCAGCAGGATGTGGCCAGGCATGGTGACTCACGCCTGTAATCCCAGCATTTTGGGAGGCCTAGGTGGGCAGATCACCTGAGATCAGGAGTTTGAGACCAGCTTGGCGAAACATGAGAAAACCCCTTCTCTACTAAAATTACAAAAATTAGCTGGGCACAGTGGTGGATGCCTGTAATCCCACCTACTTGGGAGGCTGAAGCAGGAGAATTGCTTGAACCTGGGAGGCAGAGGTTGCAGTGAGCTGAGACCACACCACTGCACTCCAGCCTGGGCAACAGTGAGCAAGACTCCATCTCAAAAAAAAAATACAAAAGTTAATGGGGCACACACCTGTAGTCCCAGATACTCCAGAGGCTGAGGCGGAATTGCTTGAAGCTGGGAGGCAGAGGTTGCAGTCAGCTGAGACCACACCACTGCACTCCAGCCTGGGCAACAGTGAGCAAGACTCCATCTCCAAAAAAAAAAAAAACCAGCCAGGCGCGGTGACTCATGCCTGTAATCCCAGCACTTTGGGAGGCTGAGGCGGGCAGATCACGAGGTCAGGAGATCGAGACCATCCTGGCTAATATGGTGAAACCCTGTCTACTAAAAATTCAAAAATTAGCCGGGCGTGGTGGTGGGCGCCTAGGCAGGAGAATGGTGTGAACCCGGGAGACGGAGCTTGTAGTGAGCTGAGATCGTACCACTGCACTCCAGCCTGGGTGACAGAGAGAGACTCTATCTCAAAAAAAAAAAAAACAAAAAAAAACAAAAATAAGAAATCTAAGAAAACAAGGAAGGAAAACAGTCCTCAGTGACAGGGAAACCTGCCTTAACCAAGTGACCTGTTCTCTAATTTCGCCTAGATGAGTTTTTAATATTTGCAGATATATTTGTGTAAGTACAGGATGTGGGATTTGCAACCTTATACGTTCCTCCCTGCTCAGCTAAGATGTAATCTAAGGCTACCCTATTATCTAAGACAACCTGAGCCAGTGAATGAATTCCTTTCTGCTGGGCTGCCTTGCTGACACACTTTTCTCAGCAAGAATTCCCGAAGTAAGATTCCTCATCCAGTGCTCACGGGATGCCACTCCCCACCAAGTCGCCCAAAGACCCAGGTACATGTTT